CAGAAAGTATGGTTTTAATTCGCTAATGAGGATGACTTGAGCTCGTGACCTCGGTAGAAGCGGGTGGTAGGGCTCTTCCGAATACAGACTTTAAGCATACTCTATCTAACATTTCAAGTGTATCTAATTCAAGCATGGCTATTGAAGAATGAAGAAAATTATGATTTCGAACGAGAATATTACAATTTAGAAACATTAGTTCCTCATGAGGCACTTTGATTCATATCTTATGAATGGGACATTCTTTCGCACCGACTACTCTCACCTTTGTCTTTTGAAAACGTTCTAGAATAAGGTGGAAAGCACCGTGTCAAATTCATGCAATTTTGCTCAACTTAGTGCACCGCGCTTGAGTACTTCTGAAAATAAACTCGATTCAAATGTACCCATACAGCCGACTTTTTTATGGGTATGTGCGAGATTGTACATCATAACAACCCATACTGATAAGAAGGTAAAGAAAACACTGAGCTTTTGGTTTGAGCCAATTACGTATCCAATTCAAAGTCGAATGAAAGAATTTTGTTCTAACATTCTTCAGAGACTCCTGCTTTTACTCAAGTACCCATCCGCCCTATTACTGAAATAATTCGAGGATGCAACCGAACACTTCAAACATGCAGCGGAACGCGTGTACGTCAAGTACGCGTACTGCGCGTCCGTTTTGGCCGTAGCTGGACCTCCTCCCCGCCCAAATAGCCGTATAGCCACTGCTACAAAAATGTGGAACATTCGCTCATATTTGCAAAAAAGTTTGGATGTTAACTTTCTGTCGATGCGTAAGGTATGCAGCACTACTGTTGTCTGCTGTTGATTCGGCATGGATTCGTGAGGACTAGCTGAATTTACGATAACGTGTGATCAATGTGGGCGTATTAACCAGTGATTCGCTTGGCTTCGCTTAAAGTCCGCCAAAAGTCCGGGAGCCGAAAACCCACTGCTTCCCGAACATCCGCTTTCATCAAACTCATTCAAATGACCGCGGAGATAGATAGAAGCAGAGCATACGTCTTGTTCTTGAAACTGCTGCAGACATGCTCCACAAAGCCAACCTCCAAATTCCTCCTACCAAACATTATAGAAGCACAAATCTCCATAGCGAAGTATACCCGAATAATATTGTGGAGTGTATCTAAACTTCCACTGCAAAAAAAACTGCATGCAATTTAGGATAAGAAGTACCTTTTGAGTCCGGGCGCACCACACAATTTACTGCGCTAGTGGACCGGACATGGAGTCACCTCTGTCCAGTTCGAAACCAGTCCGATATCACTCTCTCCAGTGGGCAGATGTTACAGTGATTTTGAGCTCTTCTTTCAGTGTCCTTAAATATCGTTTAATCCTCTTCGCTAAGATTTCTGCTTCTACAATGTTTGGTAGGAGGAATCTGGAATGGAAAGGTGGGACAAAATATTCTAAGATTCCACATCAGCCTATTTTCGCGGAATCAAATGTTAAAGGCTGACCACGCCAATTTATAGTTATTTATCATTATAAGATGTGATGTAGGAATATGTGAGGATAAAATAGAAGATATTTGTATCCGGGGCATACTCCTTGAGGCTGCGTCCGTGAGGAGCATGTTTGGATCAGTTAAAAGTACGTGACGCGCTTAATCGCTGCCGGGCAAGAGGAGGGCCAACTACGGCCGCTTCGACCGCGCAATACGCAGCTCAGATAGGCGTTTCGCTGGCTGGTTGAAGTGTTCGGTTGGCTTCGGATTATCTGATTGGGAGCACACTAACAAAATATAATAGGGCGCATGGCCGCTTGAGTAAAAGCAGGAACCTCTGGAGAATGTTAGCGAAATTTGCAGCTTTCATGTGATTTTAAGGATTGGATACGTAAGTAGCTTAACCAAATGTTCATGTATTTTTACTCGTAAATCTTCGAAGATAAGAATTTTAAAGTTTCTTGAAAATGCTTTGCTTGTAGAACTATCTGAAAATGGCGTTTCGAGTTTTTGTATTATTATGTTTCTCCCATGTGATGGTCTACCGCCTCATCGTGGCGCGGGGGTGACTCTTGGTGTCGAACTGCGAAGTACAGCGGAGGTTTATCTTCCAACAGGGTCTCCCAAGCTGAGAAGGAGTTCGAAGTTTCCGGTTCCACGGATGCCCATCTAAGAGTAGGCCATGCCAGAAGCCCCACTGTCTGGCTGGTCAAATCGCTAGTGGTTCCCTGTTTCATATAGGTCAGCGATTGCCTGTGGTAAAAGCTTAGCAAGCCCTAGCAAGGCTGCTAAGTTTGGGGATTATTTTATTGCTTGTACATCATGTAATAGGAAAAGAACCTTGCGCACTGCATCACATCTCCAGCGTCAGATGTAGTCAAGGCCAGTGTCGGGTTGCACAGAACGCAATGGATTTTGGACCAAAAGGATACGCCAACGACTCGCCATGAAGATTATCTTATGCTCTGCAACTACAACACCAGGACAGTTTCCACCAACGCCGATATTTACGCCCTTCTCGAAGCTGCAAAGCACACAACTGCCACGTAATCGCCTCGCAGGAAACAAAGTCCAGGAAGACGGACAGCTGAGTGATGGCACACTCA